ATAATACGGGTACATAAATTTTAAACCAATAAAATATATATAATCATATAAACATATATTAAACAGGGTATTTACTAATTAGGAGTGCAGACCTTGTAAATGGTTTATAATACGCAACTCTTCAGCAACCATCTATAATATGGTTGGTGATATGCAACTTTAAGCAACCATTTCCAAAATGGTTGGATAAAAGATTCTGAATCATTAGTTGCATTTATTCACCTAAATTCGAATATTCTTGGGGCAAATGCCACTACGTTGTCGTTTCTCGTTGAAGGAAGTGTTAAAAAATTGAATCGCCATTGTTCTTCCCCATTTGGCCATTTCAGTTCCAAACCTAAATCCCTAAGTTTGCTTCTTCCCCTGTTCTCCGCGCACCGCAGCCTTGAAGATTACCAATGTCCTCCTTGCTGGCGTCGTCTCCCTCCACGCTCCATGCCTCCCACACTCTCCAATTCCTCATTGCAAGCTTGCTGGTGCGGGAGAAAAAGAGGTCGCCTGTGACCAGCGTTTCATACCATCATCGCTCTTCGTCATCAGGCGTTCTTCGTGAGAGTTGTTCCAAAATCAAATCCCTAAGTTTGTTTCTTCCCCACTTGTCCGCAAACTGCAACCTTGAAGCTTAGCAGTGTCCTCCATACCAACGATGTCTCTCTCCACGCTCCATGCCTCCCCCACTCTCCAATTCGTCCACGCAAACTTGTTGTCCAGTGAGAAAAAGAGGTTGTCTGTGACCAGCGGTTCCTCCAATCTTCGCTCTTCATCATTCCGCATCATTGGTGAGGACTGAGGAGGTTTCCGCCAGTCGTGACTCCACCAGGTAATCCACCACTCCTCCTCTCTACTTGTCTTATTTAATTCGTTTGTATGAGATGGTATTCAGGTGAGAATAGAACCCTAAAACTTATAGGGAGTTCGATTATTTGTAGGTTTTAGTTGCTTTTGATAAAATCCTTACATATTGTTTCTTTTCCTATCTGTATGATTCCTACTGCATGTATGGTTTAAGATCTGAGTGAGACATATGGAGGTTCAATTTGAGTGATCGTCGTTTTTTTATATGAAGTTTCGCTTCAGTGGATCAATAGAGCTTATTTTTCTGATTGTTTAAGGAACTGGGGAAGAAAGTGAGCTGGGATTGATTGTTGTGTGGCTTAAGTACTCAAGAATTCTGAAGTTGTGCAGAAGAAGAAAGCATGCTTGAGATGTTTCTTCTTATGTTTTTGTTATCGGTTCCTTTAACTTATTGTACTTTCTAATAGTCATGGTATTTTAGATGATTCTTAAGTTGTTAGTCCTACTTGAAACTCAAGGTTGTGTTCTAAAGCAGGGCAGACTTTCCAAAATTTAGAATTGGCCTCAGCTAATCTAGCGTAGTGGCGGATATACTCCACAATAAGGGTTCTTCTGCTTTATGTTTAGCTCTCAATAATTTAAGTGCTTGTGAAATTGTATGCATGAATATAGTTAGTAGTTTTTGTCTCAGTTGTGCTCGTCTCTAGTTAAGGTTAGTGAGATAGATGGGGTTCTCTGTAAGAGAGACCCAACTATTACTAATGAGAACATACATTATAGGGAGGAAATTCAAAGGCTGCAAGAAGATAACAATTCTACTTTGCATAGATAAACCACATTAAGTATTCTGAATTCATGGTACTTGTGTATAGAATGAGCACAAGAAAGTCAAAGGATAAAGAGGGGTACCACATGGCTACAACTATGAATTATAAAGGTCTGGGTTTTTGCTCTCTTTTGGCTGTTGTAAATTTGATGGAATGGAACGCTTTTAAATAGCTCTAGTATCTACCATAGACTTCTAACTCCTAAAGTTTGGTGTTGTGATATAGATGATTATGCCGGAAGGTGATAGAAGACCTTTGGTGGAATATTGAGAGCCTAGATCTTCCAATCGTCTCCGCACCCAAAGTTCCAACAACATGGATGTTTCTACTTTCTAGTGATAGCGTTGTCTTTAGTATTCCTCCTAAACTTGACCAGGATAACAAACGTTTCTCTTTCTTGTATCATGCAGATTGGAAGCATCTATCGGTTTTGATTGAGACTACTTGTTATTAGTTATACTTATGTGTAAACTCAAAGTCATATTAGAATTGAGAATAATTATCCTATTTTGGATATATGTATTAGGCACATACCTTTTATTTTGTACTCCATTTTAATTTTACTATGTATGCTATAACGAATTGAGTTCAAATTGTATTATAATCATTTTTATAAATTAAATGAATCTAATCTTGGAAATTATATTATAATCCCTTCAATTTCATTATGACATGGAGTGCTACCCTTTTGGCCACTATTAGGTAGCTAATGTAAATAATATTTAGCGACCATATAAATTAATATAGTTGCTGAAAGTGTTCTTATTGGCGACAGTTGGCCATGGTGGCCGTAACTCTTCACTTTTCACCAACCATGTTTCATAGTTGCCAAAGACACTTAGAGGCAACCATTGTTGGGTGGTCGCCTATTGTAATGTTTCAATGACGATAGGGTATGGTTGCGGAAGATACTTCGGGCCACCATTTAAAAGGGTTGCCTATTTTAGGGTATAAGCTACCATGTGATATGGTCGCGCAAAGATTTTTTTTGGCGACCATCAAGAATTATGGTTGCCATCAGCTTTAGGCGACGGCCTTTTGCCGACCATGATAGCGACCCCCAAATATGGTTGCTGCGAACCTTCTGCCACCATTTTTTCACTTTTTGCGACTATATTTTATGGTTGGTGAAACCCTAAATTCTTGTAGTGACCTCTTGAATTGTTTGTTTACTCTAGAGAAAGTAGTTGTGATTGTGAATATTCTTTATTCTGTTTTGGAGTGGACGATCGAATTTTTTGGGATTTTGAGGTTCTCGGAAAGTACATAGTTAAATCTGGCTATGACATGGTCTTCTAGGAGATTACTTGGGACTCGGGGTCTACAGATTCACATTTATATCGAGGTTTGTGGCTTAATGTGTTGGCCCTTCCGTTCCTCCGAAGTTGAGGTTTTCATGTGGCAGATGTTGTCGCAGATCCTACCGACTAGGTGGCCTTGGCAGAGCAAGACATTCATGTGCTAGTAACTTGTCCAATTTGTGGTAAGAAGTTGGAGTCGATGGAGCACTTGTTCCTACATTTTCCTCTAACATTGCAAGTTCGACGACTTCTCTCTTTCTCTACTTAGAATGTCCAATTGTTCTAGTGTCGTGTGTAAGAGAGTCATTTTGAGGATTCAACTAATATTTTGTGATTAGTTGCCTTGTTTTTGCGTAGGTAGAAGTCCTCCAATGTCATGTGAGATGGTTTGGTTCGGATGTGGTGTTTGATGTGGTTATTGGGCTTCAGTTTATAGATCGTTAGAAAAACGGGATAACTCATCATGTGGTGAAACACACCCTTGTTTTAGATCTTGCAATTGTGGCATGTTTTGATTTCATATCACGGTTGTTTCCATATCGGTAAAAATAGTGTATCCCTAATTTGTTTGTAATACAATATATCTAATTGACCAAAAAATTCACGTGTTATTTTTATCAAATATTTTATATAATTAAATTTATTAAAATGAAAAATATTTTTACAATATACATATCTACGTAATGTTATATAAAATAAATCATATACAATTAAGATAATCCAGAAATACACCAAATCCAATGTATATTGTTGTATTACTATTAATGTAAAAAATATGTAACATAAAATATTATGTTGTTGATGTAGGTATTTCCTCAATGTGCGACCTAAGATCGTAATGATAAATAACTTGACGGTGATAACACTTACAGGGACCAAAAGTCTCATTTGAAACTCCATCACACGAAAACTCTTATAACTTGGGTTTTGTTGACGTTTTTTTTCCAGGAAGGCTTGAATTGATATAATTTTTGGTCCAAAGATCTTGGGATTTTAACTTGCCACTCTAGTAATAAAAGTATAAAACCATGGTTTTTATCATATGATCCCAGCATCTTATTTTTATAACTTCAAGATGACATTATCAATTTAACCCACTAAAAAGATCAACCAGCTGCTCTGAGTCGCATGATCAACTGAGAAGCGCCCGTAATGCTATATGCTAGAAGTTGAAATCTCACGAGCAGTATGGTTTAATATGACGGAGTGTCATCAACTCAATATCTGTGCTGTGCATGAGCAATTTGCACAAATCTTGCATGTTTAGTGAAACTATTATTTTGGTGCGACAATTATACACACCGATCATGAACGTCGTACAAGGAACTGACTATCCACAACGATCATGAACGTCAAACGTTTTTCTCAGCGTTGATCAGAACCTAAACACCGAGACCGTAATAAGGAAAACGATTCTTGAAGCAGTAGATTGACATAATCGTCGTTTTCAGATAGTGAATGAAGGCGTCATCATTTTTGCTCATATTCTTTCTTGTATTGGGATGGTTGGCTTGTGGCCTGGCTGTGGGGGCACTGGCCCAGGACTGGACTGGACTGGACTGGATGGCTGCTGCTGTGCTGCTGCTGTGGTGGCTGAACCGCCGAAGGTGTCTGCGCGCCTCTCAGTCCAATCCATAATAATAAATAAAGAAAAGAAGATTGACTGATGAAACAAAACAAACAGCCCCCGCGAAACTTACGGGCTGGCATGGCACCCTAATTTTGCCCCTCCCTCCCTCCTTTTACCATACTGCCCCTTGCATATTTCTTATTTATTTATTTTTTTGTAAATTACATCCGGTCCCATTTTTGGCAGCCTTTCCCTTTTGATAAATTCCAATCTTTACTCGTTGTTATTATTACTAGTATTCATTCCCGCGCTACGCGCCGGGATTTAAGAATAAATCGGCAAAACCGGAAAGGTAATGATTATACACTTGTTATTGATATTTGCAAGCTTGGTATACATTCGTTGTTATCAATTTGAAGCCACAGAATTTCCAAAAGGAAAATAATAGTTCCCTTGTGCTGTAAAATTTTGACGTATAGTTGCACTTATTTCCCTTGCACGTGTGAAGGTGAATAAACACTTGTAAGAGCTGTTTGATGAGAAATTTAAAAAGCTGGAATAGACGTATTAGTACAGTAAGTAATGATGGGACATTTTGTTTGCTGCTCAGTGTTCTGCTCAGTGTTTCTAGTTAGCTTTGGCTGGTCCTTGAGCTTGCACGTTGGTCACCAAGACTCTTGCCTGACCCATGGCTGGTTGCACCCCAATGACGTGGCAAATTTGGGGCTCGATGCTGTCGGATTGGTCTTGGGGGATCCTTTTGTGAGAAGTGGCCAACAACGGCAGTGCAGAGGAATTAGAGGAACTGAGATCAAATTTGGAACTCAGAAGTGAAAAACTGAGCATAAAAAAACAATTCAAGCCAACCGTGTATGGAGGGTAAAAGGAAGATAGATTCATCGAGGCGACTTGTGATTTAGTTCAATCTATAATATCAAAGGATCCATTTTTAGTCCATATATATTGTTGATACCAAAGTCAATCGAAATTTTTCCATGACTTCCCAAATCCATCCACCAGAAAACAATGAAATCAATGAAATGAAGGCATAAATTAGAGTTGGATCATAGGAATCAGAGGCAAAACAAATATAGAACACAAAGAAACAAAGTAGGGAGATTAAGAAAACATCAAATAAAAGAAACACCCAAACTTGCTTCTTGAAACATACCTATAGGTTGAAATGATTTTGTGGCTCAACTTGTGCTTGCAACTTATCATCTATTTACATCCCCAGAGAGGCACGCTGCAACCCATCAACATTTCAGGCATCAACAGAGACCCCAAACTAATCAATAGAAGGCAACCGCAATTAATCAACTTACACCACTATAGCATGTCCCACTAATTGCATACCATATCAGGGGGGGAAATTAATGGGCACCTGCAATCCCTGAACTAAGCTCCATACCTTCAGCTTCCTTCTCTAATCGTGGACACAAAAATCCACGAACGCCCTCAAAAGCTGCAAATAAAATTCGGATGAGAAAAGTGAAAACTGGGATAGATAACAGGGGGTTAGAGAGGGGAAGAAAAAAGATGGAATGGAGCCCCGGCGCGGAGCGCGGGCAATGATAACTTGCAGCTCTGGATTGCCTCCTACTCCTTTCTCGACCTCTCAAACTCCCCATTTATTGTTTCAAGTTCTAGTCAATGGAGAAAAAGAAAACCTAATGATTAACGAACCCACACATAAAATGGGGAAAACAAAATCATTAGACAAAGAAGGAAGAGTCACCTGAAACCAGAATATCACCGTGGATCGTCTTCTTTCTCACCCGGCTGCAAAACCTTACGGAAATGTAGAGGAACAAATTAGGCTTCCTAACAACTAAAATGAGCAAAACAAAACTAAAATAATGGTAAGAATATCGGCAAAGTCAGTTCGCTTTCCTCACCGGTGAGCAGAAGGCACAGGCAGATAGACAGATCTTCATCCCATCAACCCTTTAGTCATCATCGAGGTGACAATCCCCCTTTTAGATCTGCAAAACACCAACAAACGATCCCCCAATTTCATTTCCCGGAACCCACCAAACAATACCGACCAAAACAACCCAATAGAAAAATATAGAATAAATAATCACCTGCATCCAATAATAAGCTATGGTCTGGATCTTCCTCGCATCCTCTCTGGTTCATAGTTGCAAATTTTGGAGATGGATTCTCCTCACGGGTGGGTTCTGGATGATTCCCTAGCCGCTCGCAACGACTATGGAGCTGAGATGAGAGAGAGAAGATGAAGAGAAGAGGCACCACAAAACTGTTGGGAGCCGATTTAGAGAGAGGGTGACTGGCGAAATCGCTTTTCTGTCTTCAGTTTATCCAAAAAAGAGAAATCAGAGATGTATACAGGGCCTAAACTGGGTAGGTTAAACGAATGGCCCAGAACAAAAGAGCTACATGGCTTCCAGCCTGCCAAGTAAATAACAAAATATCTCTGGTTCCAAGATCCCTCACAGTCCCCTCTCCGCAGCGCCTATCACCTAGAACAACGGGAAAACTGTCGCCCCTCCATCCTCTCTCTCACTGGTCACTACTGTCTCACAGAAACCTCAAAAGAAATAAAAATAGGAAAACAGGAAAATACCTCTCTCACTGTTTCAGCGAATGACCCATAAATCATAATCTCTTCAAAGGTCTCTATGACCATCGCTGAGTGACAGAGACCACCAGACATCACCACCAGTCATCTCCTCCTCCTTCCAAAGCAAAATCCTTCTCCTCACAGGTGATTCGACAAAAAAGCACCGGGTCCACCCAAGAATCCTTGTGACCAACGCGAAGAGCACTGTATCCCCCACTAAGACCGCTCAAAGGGCAACCAAATGCATCCCATCGGCAGTCCAATGGAGACCAGCCATCGAAACCCAACCAGCCCAACCAGACGGTACCCTGCACCCTTCAACACCAGATCTCACGCTAAGTTGTCTCCACGTATACAGTGAACTGAGTCCAATTGGAGAACACGGGGCCCGCTGCAGGAGAAGAGCAAATAAGAATCGTGTGAATAGTAATTTTGAGTCACAATGAATAGGAAAAGCAGTCTGGATGTACAGTAATTGTTGTTTTGAGCTATTATACTTTTAATTATTTAAGTGGTATGGGGGTTTTGTCCCATTGCCTACATTTGACAACACTTGTACTTCATGCAGCCATTCGTGTCCCTATTCAATTTCCCCCCTCTTTTCCCTCTCTACCGTTTTCTTTTTCCACTCTTTTGTGGGTTTCCCAGTCGTGATTGTGATTTGTGGGAAAACAAAAAAAAAATGTGAGAGTCTATTAGCAAATTCGTTTCCCGGCTGCTCTTTCTCATCACGCGGTAAGTAACAAAATTTAAGTTGGTGCAATTGAGGAGTTGTTTGGTATCACGTTATCATTGAATTTCACTTATTTTGTAAATGCATTAACAGGGAGTGAATCAGTAACTTGCACCAAGCAGATTACTGAATCATGCATAACATTTTTCAATTCAATTTAATCTTATATATTTCTTTCGTTATAAGTTAAATGCAATCCTGAAAAATTAGATTAATTATACTTTTCAAAGGAACTTCTACTTTAAAATATATTAACGAAAAAATCAAGGCAATATATTATCGGTTTATACCATAGTGGTTATACTTGTTCGTACATAAAATTATCAGTTGGACTACGCCGGTATGAACATGGCATGGTCAAGAATGATTACACACAAGATAATAGAAATATATACTAATCATTATTTACCAGCTTTCACCATCGACTATCACCAATTACCACCATGTACCATGGTAGCATATTTGGTCCTGAATTTTTTTTCTAGAAATTTATAGATTGCAATAGATTAGGCCTTTTCATGATTTTTTATTATAAATTAGAGTTAAAAACGAAGGTGATACCAAGTGATACTAGAGCGGTAACGAATGGTAATAGACGGACAAAAAAATATTTTCACAAAATATATAAAAATGGATACCATTTTGTATGTAACAATGAATCAATTCCATATGTGCGGAGAAAAAATTTAAACTTCAAGTTAGAAACAAAAAAATATACAAGCCTATTAAAAATGTATGGAAATAAAATGTTTTTAATCTCACCACTTAGATCTAACCTCACTCAAAATCAAAGGGTCAAAGTCAAATATAGTTTTGTATAAAAGGGTTATGCATACTACCCTAAGTCGCATTATTACAAGTTATGTATAGTTATGGAGATAATTTGGTTAAGATTATTGTAATACTTATATTGTTTATAATTATTATTTTTAACTTTTATGCACAAACTGGCATTATTTGTTTGGACTTTGCTACGGTGACATGCATGTCACCGTGACATGCACTTTTCGGTCGACCTCATATAGAATCAGGTCGACCTAATCTGTTGTTTCAGTGTAAAAACAGTTTCAAGGTGCCTACTTTGGAGATTCATATCTTACAATTGGCTAGATGGAAATTGGAGATTAAAGGCTTGTTTTGAAGCTGAAGTGTCCCTCTACACATTAAAGTACTTGGGAGCTCAATAGAAAGTCCAGAAGACCATTTTTGAACCTGACCAAAAGGCTATGCCAAAACTGGAAAACTACCTGAAAATGGCTAAGTCTGGCAACGTGTTTGTCGAGCCTATTTTGGAGCTCAATTTGAGAAGCATGGATGCGAGTCAAGTCCAGGGGTCTCTACCACGTTAAATTACGTATATTTTTTATACAAAGGCAAGACATTGGATGAAAGATTGAATATCTTTAAGGCTTCAAACAAAAGGCTTGAAGTTGCTACGAAGGCTGTTTTTCTGGCCGCTTGCTTGTGCTCGAAAACAGCCTTCGTAGCAACTTCGACCCTTTTGTTTGAAGCCTTACATATATCCAATCTTTCATCCAATGCCTTGAATTTGTATAAAAACATACCTAATTTAACGTGGTAGAGGCTCCTGGACTCGACTCGCATTCATTCTTCTCGAATTGAGCTCCAAAATAGGCTTCACAAACACGTTTCCAAACTTAGCCATTTCCAGGCAGTTTCCCAATTTTTGCATAGCCTTTTGATGAGGTTCAAAAATGGTCTTCTGGACTTCCTATCGAGCTCTCAATCACTTCAATATGTAGAGGGACACTCCAGCTTCAAAACAAGTCATTAGTCTTCAATTTTCATCTAGCCAATTGTATGATATGAATATCCAAAGTAGGCACCATGAACTGTTTTTACACTCAAACAACAGATTTGGTCGACCTGATCCTATATGAGGTCGACCGAATCCCAAATGAGGTCGACCAGATCCTATATGAGGTAGACCGAATTCTAAATGAGGTCGACCTAATCCTAACTGAGGTCGACCGGAAAGTGCAAGTCACCGTGACATGCATGTCACCGTAGGCACACCCTATTTGTTTTAAGTGGTAGAAAGTATCACTCAAAATGATAAATAGGTAGGGACTAGTTTAGTTTCTTAGATTGTGAAATTTGATATATCGGGACAATACATAATTATACTATATTATATTATACAATGGTCTCTATGGTTCACTAAAAAAAATGAGTGTGTCCTACGCACCCAACTCTAAAGTAGGCATAAGAGATCAAATATTGAATGTTAAATGGCAGTATTAGTTTAACATGATGATCACAACTAATCAATGCATTACCCTAAGTTCCAAACCTTCAATTTTGAACACTAACCCTTAACCCCAAATTGTAAACCCTTACCCTAAATTCCTAAACTAGAGTGAGCAATGCCTTGGGTTAGTGGTACAATTACTAGTCTTCAACCCGGAGGTCTCATGTTTAATTCCCTTAAGTAAGCACCTAATGATAATAATAAAAATTGTATAACCCTTATAAAGAAATTCATAAACCCTAAATCCTCCAAATCAAAGTAAATATTTAATGATTTTGAGCAAATTCATGTGTTTTTTGGCTTATTATATTACTAGTGATGATTGACATAATTTTGACATGGACCGTCTTCTCAGAAT